CCTTCCCAGTAACAAAAGAAAATGCTAGTTAAAACGAGATACCCTTTTTCTGCTTACCCTTTTCTGCTAGTTAAAACGAGATACCCTTTTCTGCTTATCAGATGCTTATCAGAAGGTTTGAAACCATGGTTATAGCTAGAATTTTGAATTTGTGAGGAAATCTCCATACCACTGGCTGACATCAGCTGACAGGCAGGGAGGGCGGTTAATAGAGTTTTGCTAAACTGTTGACTTTTTGCCTGCTCTTTGACACAGCAATTTTATTCTTGGAATTTATCTCAAGACTCTGCAAAGTTTTAGCTACAAGGATATTCATTTCATCAATGTTTATAGCAGTAAAAAAATTTGTGATAAGATTATCTAATTTTATGGTATATGGATAAAAATCTTGTAAAAGAATACTCAAAGTGGCGTAGTATTTGGAATATACTGATAAACGTGAAAGTCAGTTTTACACAGCAAGTATGTAGAAAATTATTTCAGTGTTTTAAAGGATATACGTATGTCCAAAAAAAGGCCAGAGGGGTACATAACACAGTGTTAGTAATCATTCCCTCCAGCAGTGATACTGCGAATTATTTTCTTCCTTTTACTTGATTGCATTATCCAGATTTTTATCACCAGTTTGCATAAGTTTTGCAGAGGAAAAAAAGCATAAGAGTTATTTTTGAAAGCGGAGGGAAGCATCTGGGTCTAATACTTTACAGTCCCCCAGAGTAGGAAGCAGGAGGCCCCACAAAAGAAGCAAAAAATTCAGGAGCATTTTTCTAGGAAAGATTTAGGAGTTGAACTCTGGCCATTCCCACAGATGGGAGAATCCAAGAAGACGGGTAGAACAGTGTGGAGATAGGCACATCCAGAGTAAGATTTCTTTTAAAGAAGAATAAACCGTTCAGGGGTGCCTGAGTGGCTCAGAGGTTTAAGCCTCTGCCTTTGGCTCAGATCATGATCTCAGGGTTCTGGGATCGAGCCCCGCATCCATATTGGGCTCTCTGCTTGGTGAGGAGCCTGTTTCCCCTCTCTCTCTGCCTGCCTCTCTGCCTACTTGTGATATCTCTCTCTCTGTCAAATAAATAAATAAAATCTTAAAAAAAAAAAAAAGAATAAACCGTTCAGAAGGAAAAAGTTTATACTCACTGATTGCTAGAAATGGGAGGCAAGGCACACGGTGAGGGAAAGCGCCAGTGTTGGTCACAGGCAGAGGGAGCAAGGGAAAACCGTGGGCAGAGCCTTTCTTGTGACTGTCACAGGAAAGAATGGGTGAAGCCTAAGAAGCAGGCTAAGCAGGTTTAAGATACCCTGGTCGAATAATTTTGGCTCACTGTGGGGCTGAGGGGCTGTCTCTAGTTGTCTGGTCCCTGGCCCTGGGGTGATCAGGGCAGAGGGCTAGTGGCCCAGAGTATGAGCTTTTGGTAAGGAGGTAGTTGGGAGGACAGGGTTCTGGGTTGGTTAGTTCCCATATGAAAAGTACAATTGTGAGTTCTTTATCATCTCCAGGAATTAGCTAGCCCTGGGAAGGTTCATTGTGTACAGCACAGACAAAATTCTGTTTTAAAGGAAATCAGAAAAGACACTCATTCTGATTTAAGAAGAATTTCCTCTGCCCTACAGGGCCCTTCTAGCTGGGCTAAGAGTCCTCTTGACACAAGACAGATTAAAAGGAGGGAAATCAAATTTCATTTCATACATACAGGGACATGGAAATTCCAAAGACAGGCAAAATGCGTAAGTCTTCCTGAACTAAAGAAAGGGGGTGGGTGTCTGGGACTTCAAAAGAAGGAATGCAGTTCACAGGGAGATGAGAAAGAGTAAATGTTTGATAAACAAATGCTAGGGGGGCCACTCAGACCCCTTAGAAACAATGGGACACACAGGACTTTGATCAGACAGGCCTTGCTAAGGTTCTTCTCTGTCCACACAACCAGTTCATGTCCTACTGTCCTTCTCTACAGTGACAGCCCTCTTCCTGGAGCAGGTCTCTATCTGAATTCTTTTCCGGCAGTTGAGGGGGAAGTGAAGAGCTTTTCCGAATTCTACTGGGTTTTGATTGCTTTTCATTCAAAATAATCTTTATGCTAAAGCGGCCCATCTTGGAGTGTCCCACCTTTAGCCCCTCCAGGTCCATCGGAGAAAGAGAATTTCCTTAAAGAATGGGAGGGCTTGTGACATATACTATTTGGAGGGAAGCTGGGCTTGGTGGAGGTGGAGAGGGTTGGGATAGGGACACATTGATAGAGGTGTAAAGCTTCAGCCTAGTAGAGGCTCGTATGACAGGACAGGTGACATGTGAAGGTCTAGAGTGAGAGTGGGGAGAGAAGGGTGGTTGGAACTGAAGCCAAGAGAGTAGGTATGGGCCAGTGTAGAGGCTTCTATGCCCCGGGCAGAATTTGGGCCTTTCTTACATGCGCTGGTGGATTGTTGATGCCGTGGTAGCTTGGGATTTCTAGTTCTGGCTTTGCCTGCACAAATGCGCAATTTCAGTGGCGTCCTTGATCCTCTCAGGTTCTTGAGTTTCTCCCTTGTAGAAGAATCATGATCCTTGCCTTCTTCACCATACCTCGAGGTTTTAGTGAGCATAGTTGAGCCTGTGGGTGCAAAGGGGCTCTCATGGGAGTGAAGTGAGGGCAGGGGAGACAAGCCACCCTGCTCATTCGCGAGGCTGTGTCCGGTGGGGACTATTGCAGGAACCCCCGTGACTTTCTGACCTCGCTTGTGAGTCACAGGATGACGATGTGTGGATCTCCAGTGGAACTGGGGGGCCTTCCACAGTCCTCGGGCCTCTTCACCCGGTGCCCACGAGGGGGAACAGGGCACTGTCCGGCCATCCTGACAGCTTGGGGCAGTTTTCTGGTCCTTCCTCGGTGGAGAGGTTCCTTGAACTGAATATGCTTAGCCTAACCCTTTATACATGGTTCAGATAGAAAGTAGTATACTTTTAGCTTCCCCCTGCTGGTCCCGGTTTTGCTTCTGGGGCCCCACATCCCAATGCCACTTCCTCTGCTGGGAAACACCTGGAATCCTTTGAAACTAGTAGTCCCTCTCTCTGGACTATGGAAGGACCAGGACCCATGACCTAAGTATTTATCTATTGCTATAATCCTCACTGTGGAATTCTTAGAGGTAGTCTCCACCTGGGAATGGAGACTACAATCTTGAGAATTTAAAGTTTTCTTTAGCAAATGTTCCTGTAGTGCTTGTGATGTGCCTTTCATTCGATCTTCATGACACTTCTGTGAGCTTGGTAGTATTATCCCCATGTTACAGATGGGAAACACAGAGAGACACAGAGAAGTTAACTATTTGCCCGAGATTGCACAGTGAGTATCTGAAGGTGGATTCGAACCCACGCTGTCTGGCTCTAGAGTCTAGAGTAGCTCCCCCTGCTCTGCTGACTGGCCCTCCCTTCCCCGATGATGGGCCACTCAGCCTCTCTCCCATTTGCCACCAAGAGCTTTATGCCTCCCCTCTGTGCTAAGAGCATGCTGGTCTCGGCCCCCTGCATCCTTCAGGGACAGAAGCTGTGAAAAGGGACAGAACCGTCCCTGGGACGTCACTGGCATCAGAACCATCCGAGGCAGCTGCTTGCAGAAACCACCACTCAGCTAAGGACAGGCCCTGCACGAGGGCTGTTTAAGGAGACTTTAATGCTGACCTTCATTCAGCAACCTCACCTGGCTTGTGGTCCCAAGTGCATGGTGTAATGAGATCAGGGGTATGGGCTGACAGCCTGCTGGTGTGTCTGAGGGCCTGGAGCCTGAGAGCAGAGCCTTGGGAGGGTTCACAGGTGTGTTCAGAGAGAACAGCAGTCCATGTTTTTCTGGTGTTCTTCTCTGAATCCGGAAGAGGCCATTTCTGTCTGGGTCAGCTAATGTCCTAAAGGAAGGAGGACATCTCAAATAGGAAAGCCCAGACAGTGCACACGGGACTCCTTTCATGTATTATTACCTTAAGCTCCATTCCTCACCAGTGGCTCAGTCCCTGGAACTAGACCACCTTCTTGTTCAGTAAATATGTCCATGAACCTGCAGGGTTTACTCGGGGAAGCCAAAGAAGAATGAGCTACAAGTCCTGCCCTAGAGAAGTTTGTAACCTACATGGGGACATAGAAGTGTCTGGAAAGGTTGAGAAGTGGGTCTAGATGATGAGCCCAGCTCAGAAGGAGAGAATCCTGGAGGCTGCTTCAATAGGGATATGGCATGAAGGAGACGGGAAGTCCTGGGAAACCAGCTGTACAGAGGTGGGGAGGAAAGGAATGTGCTGGTGCCCTCTGCTTGCCCTTTCTACCTGCTGCACTCCTTCCCCACCAGCCCCTGTGCCCCAGGAGGCCTACCCGTACAGACTGCACCAACATGCTTGACTTCGGGCAGGACGGTGGGCTTGCTCAGTAGGAGACCCCGGAAAGAGAGCAGGAGACCAGAAGAGAGAGAGGTCCGGTGTTTATCCCTCCTGCTCCTGTGGCTGTGGTTTGGCTTTAAGACCCTTCCCTTGAGCCACAGTTCCAAACACGTGACCCTCTCAGCTTGGCCATTCTCTCTGGTGCTGGCAAGCACTCCCTTCCCGGCCTCCCAGGCTGGAGTGGGAACAGCTCACCTCTATTGCCAGCCCCGGGTATCATGCTCTTTCCTTCATTCCCCTGAACCTTGCTCACATCGCTATAGATCATCTTTTTAAAAATTCTGCTCAAGGGGAACCTGGGTGGTGCAGTCGGTTGGGCATCTGCCTTCGGCTCAGGTCATGATCCCGGGGTCCTGGGATCAAGCCCTGCATCAAGCTCCCCACTCAGCTGGGAGCCTGCTTCTCCCTCTTCCACTCCCCCTGCTTGTGCTCACTCTCTCTGTGTGTCAAATCAATAAATAAAATCTTAAAAAAGGAAAAAAAGAACTCTGCTCAAATGAAGTGTGGATGGGCTGCTGTGCCTGCCAGGAGCCCCAGTGAAAAAAGCATTTCAGAGATAGGGAAATGAAGAGGTAGAAATTCACACATCTGTCGGCTGGAGTCTTAGGCGGGAGAAGGGAGGAGGTTGGGGTCCAGAAGGTGAAGAGCTTTCAGCACCAAGCTGGACGTTTTGCAGACCCCTGTAATGTGCTTCTGTCCCTGTCTTCCAGGACGCGCCTGCCTGTCGCCCCTCACCGCCCAGCACCCCCTTGTGCAGGTCCTCTGTTCAGAAGACGGGGATGGAGATGCGTGGAGGCTGGGGCCTCAGCGGGTGTCTGGCCTTGCTGTTGCTGCTCCCGTCCCTTAGCCTAGCACAGTACGAGGGCTGGCCCTACCCCGAGTACTTCCAGCAGCCGGCCCCTGAGTACCACCGGCCCCAGGCGCCCTCGGACACGGTGAAGATCCAGCTGCGCCTGGCTGGCCAGAAAAGGAAGCACAGCGAGGGCCGGGTGGAGGTGTACTACAATGGTCAGTGGGGCACCGTGTGCGACGACGACTTCTCCATCCACGCGGCCCACGTCGTCTGCCGGGAGCTGGGATACGTGGAGGCCAAGGCCTGGACCGCCAGCTCCTCCTACGGCAAGGGGGAAGGTAAAGGAATTGGAATTGAGTGCTCATGTTGCTGGAAACCCCAGGAACAGTGCTGTGTGAGATTGTGAGCCTGGTAAAGGAAGCTGCAGTTGCTGTCCAGTGTGAATTCCCCAGAATCCTGCATCTGGCCAGCCTCCTGGGTCTGGGCTGGAGGTGGGAACAGATGGGTGCCCCGTGAGGGCACAGGATCCACCCGTCCCGCTTTGCCTGGGGCTTTCCGTGTGTTAGGGCAGGAAGTCTTGCATCCTGGAAATGCCTCCTGGCTCGAGCGGACCAGTTGGTGTCCGTCTGTACCCATGGCCCCCTGCGCCCTACCCGGGGGCCATGTGAGCCAGGGGACGGGGTGCCTTTCTTCCAGTCCCCTCTTCCTTGAAGGGGTGCCTTTTGCTCTTTCTCACAAAGGCTCCCCATAGGCCAATGTTCCCTGACTCTCCCCACCGCACTGTTTGTGTAACCTTCACACTGTTAACAGCAAGACGCTCTTCTGGGCTTGTCCGTGACAGGAACAGAGTTGATCTGGGTTTTTCACTTTGGTTGGGCTACTCTTTCTTCCCTTGTCAAGTTCAAGTCAATATATTTTGGGGGGAAAAAAAGATGTTTTGGTAAAAGCTTTGAGGGAGGGCTAGTATTGGTGCTCTGAATCAGTTTGGGGGGGGGGGGCGCAGGGCTAACCTGTAGTATTTTGGGTTAAGGTCTGGGCTAGAGTCTAGGACTCTAACCTTTGGAAGCCTCCCAAGTGATCGTATATGTAGCCAGCTTTGGGAGTCATCAAAATAGATTGTTATTAAGGTCCTTTCTAACTCTTGCTCTCTGTTATTCTAGAAATTACAGGGAAAATCTATGTGTCTTACCTCCTTGCAGTTGAATGTGTTCTGTGGGCGTAACCAGACCAAGAGACCACACTTACAGTGAAATGTTCTCTGAAGCTGATTTGGGGTTCCTTATCAGTGGCGAGATTAAAGCAGCAAAAATGAGTTAGCAAATGATGGGCTTTTTTTTTTTTTTTTAGAGAGAGAGGGGGAGGCAGGGAGAGGCAGAGGGAAAGGAAGAGGGAGAAGCCCAAGCAGGTTCTACACCCATGGTGGAGCCCAACACCAGACTCTATCCCACAACCCCGAGATCACGACCTGAACTGAAATCAAGAGTCAGACCTCAGCTGATGGAGCCACCCAGGTGCCCTGCCAATGTTGGGCTTTTAAAGCCCACTTCCTGTGTTCTTTACAAAACTCTGGGCATGCCAAAGGCCTGGGTGACTTAATCCACTGAGCATCTGACTCTTGAACTCAGCTCAGGTCTTGATTGCAGGTTGTGAGTTCAAACCCTGCGTTGAGCTACACGCCCAGCATGGAGCCTACTTTAAAATGAAATGAAATGAAAATGAAAAACAAAACCTCCAGACATGTCTCCACATTTCTACATCTTCATGTATTCTGCTGGCTCAGTGACCCACGGGTAATGTCAGGTTTGTGTTTTCAATCCCAGTCTCTTAAGCCTCAGTATTTTATAACACTTGCCAATGACTATGGGGTTTTTCCAGGGACCACTTTATTTTATTTCTACTACTTTATTTATTTTATTTCTACTCAGACTTAAAGTTTACCTGTCATTAGATTAGATGCGTGTGGTTTTTTCCCCCATTCCAGTTCACCTGCCTACGTGTGGGCATGGGGTGGCCAGGGAAGTGGGTTAACCTGGCTCAGACTTTGCCCCCCAGGGAGGATGAAGGCTGGAGAAGAGTTCAAGGGAGTAGAGGGAGTGTGTGAGGGAGCAGCTGAAACTGTGGACCCTGGAGTCTGGGCTGGATTAAGTTGGACGGTACTACATGGGGGACTTGTGGGGAAGGCTGTTGGGGTCACAGGTCAGGGTGGAAATTGCAGTACAAGAAGGAGTGTGCTAGAAACATTTTGGGGGGTTGGGTGGAGATGCAGATACACAGCAGAAGGGTTGAAATGGACACTAGGGAGGGGTGCCATTGTTGGTAATGATAAGGTCTAAGCTACGACTGTGGGATAGTTACTGATGTAGGGCCAGGGAAAGACTCTGCAGAGAGAAGCTAAGAAGAGGCCAGAGAATCCTAGAACAGTCGTCTCAGTGGATACTGAAACCAGCAGGACTTAGGAAGGAGAAATAGCAAAGATGAAGGGAGAAACAGAGGTAAAAAAAAGTGTGAACTGTCCCGTCTCCTGAACTTTGAGGATTATGTTGTCCGTAAAAAGTGATACTTGGTTTTTGCATCAGGAGAGGTCTATTAGATATAAAGGTATTTGAATTCTTTAGCATCAAGTTAGGATTCTTAGCACTGGGTACATGTTGGGCACTCGGTAAATATTAGCTGATTAATTCATTTTGCTTGAGGACAGTAGTGAAAACAGACGGCAAGCAGTTGTTGGCATAGGAAGCAGAGAATGTGACCGGTGCCCTGGGCTGTGCTCCCAGGAAAGGAGTTTAACCTGCAGATTGGCCCATGCATGCACTGGGATCACCGGAGTCAAGCTCTTACTATCTCCTTCTCCTCTGACATACAGGGAGTAGTAAGGAAGCCCCAGGAGAGCACCTAGGCCCTCCCAGGCTTTCCAGCCTGGACTGTCAAGAGTTCTCCCATAAAGCATCTTCTAAGCTCAGGGAACTCATGGACCCTTCCAGAGGGTTCTAGAAGGGACAGCTGTTCTGTTTCTCACCCTGGGTCTCCCAGCAGCCTAAACTAGAGATGATTGCTCTCCTTGGCTTGTCTCCAGACCTAAGCTCAGATCTGATCCCTCCCCAGCCCCACCACCCCGTGCTGCCCTTCACTCCCCATTGTTCAAATCAGAGTAACCAAGCCAACAGATGACCACAGTGGGGCCCCAGAGCTTCCAACTTGAACTGTCCTGACAACACAGGGAACACTTGGGCTTTCAGAGTTTCCTTTGTGATCTCTATCTTCCAAATGGTTTGTGGATTGGTTGACATGTCTCTTCTCTTGTCAGGAGAAGCATTTCTTAGAGTGAATGAACGGACAGTGTAGAATGAGGTTTGGTTTCTGATTGGCTGGCTCTTTGTGCCCAAAGTTAGAGCCGCACCTACAATCCACCTACAATCCAAGTGCCACTTTCCTAGCAGCTCTGAAATGACGTCTCCTGAGCTGTGCCTGGCCCACTGTGCATCCCAGCAGGAGAGAGCCAGAGCAAGGTCAGAACAGTGTCCGTGATAGGCAGGAAGCATACACGGAAACATATTGTCATGGAATCAAGCAAAATTAGTGTATCATGCCTAGTGATGCCCTCTCGGGCTGTGTCGAAATTTACACTTCCACCGTCTACGAAAAATTACCTGGTGAGGGGCATCTGGGTGACTCGGTCGGTTAAGCATCTGCCTTCAGCTCAGGTCATGATTCCAGGGTCCTGGGTTCGAGTCCCACTTCGGCCTCCCTGCTCAGGAGGGGAGCCTGCCACTCTCCCTCTGCCACTGCTTGTGTGCAATCTCTCTCACTCACTGTCTCCCTCAAATAAATAAACACAATCTTTAAAAAAAAAAAACAAAACCCCTAGTGAGAATATATCCCGAGTGGGATCATTGGCAGTGAGTTAACGCTACTTAAGAAAGCAGCTCTCTGGGGGAAGTTCGTTCCCTTAGCACCCCAGGGAGCTCCTTTCAAATGTTCCTATCAAAGAATAAAGCAGGCCGGAGAGCCTCTGCTTTGCTGCTCGTGGTTCCTTCAGCTACACGCTGTCCCGTTTTCCCTCCCCTTAGCCAGGGTGGTTTCTCTCATTGCAGATGGAATAAGGGCCCTGCTTCTTTTCACCATCTCTGTCCCTTCAGCAGCTTTGCCACAGAATGTTCCAAAGAGGCCTCCCTGCAAATGTGGAGGGTCTTTTCCGTTGCTAGTACTTAGTAAGACAAACATTTTGTTGTCCAAGCAGCAACTGATTAGGGAACATATGTTTTCGAGGAGTTTGATGGCTGGGAAGTGAGGCCAAATTGAGAAACCGGTTGGAAACCCTCGGCCCAGATGTTTTCAATCAGCTTGTTGTTCCCCACAATGTGTCTGAGGCGCTCTGGTTCGAGCCCTAACTGGCCATCCGTTATAGCAGACGCGTCTCAGCAGGGCCCCGGAGTCAGGGACTAGCCCCATGTCCACCCTGACCTTGAAGAACCTCAGATTCTCCTCAGTTTTCTTGTCTCTGCAATGGGAGTGTTTGCATCTGCTTTTCTGTATCTGTTTTCCTTGCATCTGGAAACAACGGGATTCCCTGTTTTTCTGATTAGTGGGAAGGAGGAAGGGAAAGGGGCTTGAACATGTACTAAGCACATACATTATCTCATCGAATCTCCATGGTGACCTGTTTGTTGGGGATCCTTGTTTTCACTTCAGAAATGGGAAACAGGCTTGGGTAAGTAGCTGGCCAAGTTGGTGGTGCCCAGGCCCGAGGCAGAGTCTGAGCCCTGGGTATCTGGCTCCATCATCCTGTTGAGGCCTGCCTGGAGCTTTGAGATAAAGGAGACATTTGAGTTTGTTTCTCATTTTATAGGGGCACTTACAAAAATCACTCTTTGGAAATCCTTTAGCACATTAAAAAATTGTGGTGAAATACACCTAAAGTAAAATACTCTGTCTTCACCGTTTTTTCAATGCGCAATTCAGTAGTGTTCGTACATTCCTGTTGTTACACAACCAGTCTCCAGAACACCTCTTGTCTAGAGGAACTGGAGCTCAGTCCCCGTTAAACAACCACTCCTCGTGCTCCCCTCTCCCGGCCCCTGACCACCTCCATTCGACTTTCCGTCTTTATGAACTCAACTATTCCAAGTACCTCATCTACACAGAATTATACGGTTTTGTCATTTTGTGACTGGCTTATTTCATTGAGCATGATGCCCTGAAGGTCCCCTGATGTTGCAGCCTGTGTTAGAATTTCCTTCCTTTTTAAGGCTGAGCACTAGACTCAGGTTATGCGTATGCCAGAGTTTGTCCAACTTTTGACTATTGTGAAGAATGCTGTAACGCACGTGGGTGTGCCGATAGCTCTCAGACACCCTGCTTTCAGATCTTCTGGGTAAATACACAGAAGCAGGGATCGCTGGATGGTATGGGAATCCCATTTTTGTTTTTTAAGTATTTATTTATTTATTGACATACAGCCATCACACGTCACATTAGTTTCAGGCGTCCAGCGTTGTGATTCGAAAAGTCTGTGCATTATCCTGCACTCAGCGCGAGCAGGGCTACCATCTGTCTCCACACAATGCCATTACAATGCCACTGACTGTGTTCCCTGTGCTGTGCCTCTCGTGCCGGTGACTTCTTCACTCCATAACCGGAAGCCTGTGTCTCCCAGTTTTCGTTTCTTGAGGAATCGCCATACTGTTTTCCGGAGTGGCTGCACCGTCTTGCATTCCTGCTGACTGTCAGCGCACAAGGGTTCCAGTTTCTTTCAACTTTGTCAACACTTGGTATTTTCTGCCCTTTTGACGGTAGACATTCTAATGGTATGAGGGAGCATCTCATTGTGACAAACCCTCCAGCACTCGGCATCCTGAATTTTCTATGGAGTGCAAATCAGATGGACACACAGGAGGCAAGCAGAACTGCACAGAGCCTCCCTGCCCTGCCTTCACCAGGCTTTTAGAACGTGAGGGGGTGACTCTGTGTGTCAGTGTAGCAGGGCCAAATCAGTGGCTGGGAAGCATCAGGCAGAGAGAAGAGCACTGAATGGCCCAACCTCTGGGCTCAGGCTGTGACCTTGAGGATGAACCGTCCCCCTGAGCCAGAGCTCTGTGTCTGGAAGGTGGGAATGACCATCCCTGAGGCATAGGGAAGTCAGGGGAACTGATACCTATGAAAATGCCTGAAAAACTCCAAACCCTTAGTTGCAGGTGGTTTACATTTTCGCTGAGGGGTCAGAGTTCAGCCTCTGCTGCAGATGGAAGGTGAGTCTGGCCTGCTCATGGTCAGTCTAATGACAATTGCCATCATCATCCTTGTTACCTCGTTTGAGTAACGATGGGCCAATAACAAACTAGACACAGGCCACATATTCTCTCGAACCTCTACGTAGCCCTGCAGTTGACGTGTCTGATGAGAAAGAAGGACAACCAAGGTGCCAAGGCTAAATGGCTCTCTCAGAATGAAACCCAGCTTGGCATCCAAAATCTCTGCCCATTCTACTAACCACGTAACATCTGGGTGCACATCTGGTTTCTGTCCAAATCACATTCAGTCTAGCACATCCCCAAATCACGTCAGCTGCCTACTCTGGAAAGGGGACCCAGATGCCTTAGAATGATATCCAGTATCTCGAACATACCAACAATCAATTGATGACCACAATAACTGCCAAAATTAGAGAAAAATTCTCTCTGGATGATGTTGGTGCCCCCAAAGATGCAAACCAACTTTGATGCAGCCCTTGGTCTCTCTCTTCTCTGCTTCCTTCAGGGCCCATCTGGTTGGACAATGTCTACTGCACGGGCAGGGAGGCCACCCTCGCGGCCTGCTCCTCCAACGGCTGGGGTGTCACCGACTGCAAGCACACAGAAGACGTGGGAGTGGTGTGCAGTGACAAGAGGATTCCTGGTTTCAAATTTGACAATTCGTTGATCAACCACATAGAGGCAAGTCTTGTGTTCTTGATGACGCCCACACGTCAGTATTTTCCTTCTTCCATGTAACTCGATTCTCATCTACTGATTCCAAGAAGAGTGTGTGAGTGCTAAGGAGGGGACCCAAGCCAACCTGATTTGGTGTGCGGGGGGGCTGCAGGAGTAGGGGAGACCACCAGTGGGTGGGGAAAGGGTACTCATTCCAGACACGAAGAATGGCTTGGGTAAGGCACAGAGGCCCTGAGGCATGAACGGGGGTAAGTAGGTCAAACAGGCCAAGAGACAAGGTGAATGTAGGAGTGGTGTGAAAGGAAGCTACAGAGGGTGCACAGGAAAGCCCCTCTGGGCTCTGTCCGGAGCCTGCCGTTTGGGCTGGGAAAATGTACTAGTTATCAAATGCTGTGTAACAAATTACCCCCCAAATTTTGCAGCTTCAAACAATAGCCTTTATGATCTCACTTAGTTTCCAAGGGAATCCGGGAGCGGCTTAGCTGGTTGACTTTGATCACATTCAGGCAGGGGACCCTGTCCCAAGCTGACTCACGCGGCTGTTGGCCAGCATTTGCTGCTGGCCCTCAGCTGGATCTTTCTGGTCCTCTGCCTCTCTATAGCCTGCCTGGGTGTCCTTACGACATGACCATTGTCCTTCTCCAGAGTGAGTGATTCAAAAGAGAGAGAACGGGAGCAAAACATGGAGGCCACAGCCTTCCAATCTTGGAAGCGATAGACCATCATTTCTGCTATATTCTGTTGGTCACACAGTGTGGGAAGAGATTACCCAAGTGTGTGAATGCAGAAGGTGGAGACCACTGGGGGCCATCTCGGAGGCTAGCTACCAAAGGACCATTGTTTCCAAATCTAGCTGGGGATCAAAATCACTTTTTTTTTTTAAAGATTGTATTTATTTATTTGACAGAGAGAGACACACAGAGGAGAGGGAACACAAGCAGGGGAAGTGGGGGGGGCGGAGAACCAGGCTTCCCGCTGAGCAGGGAGCCTGATGCGGGGCTCGATCCCAGGACCGTGGGATCATGACCCAGGCCAAAGGCAGACGCTTAACGACCGAGCTACCCAGGCACCCCCAGAATCACTTTTCTAAAATGCACATACTGGGGCCCCACCCCTGACCTCCTGAAGCAGAATTCCCACTAGGGAACCAGACTAGTTTTGAAAGTTCTCTCAGATGATTCTGATACCAGCCTGCCCCAAGTCAGCATTTGGAAATGGCCAAAGGGCTTGAGACCCTTCTACATTTATGGCTACGTTTCAGAGTTAGCTTGTCAATAAGTTCTCCACGTGAACAACAAAACCAGCAAACATTCATGGCACTGCTCTTATGGACAAGGTACCTGAGGCTTAGGACAGCCTCCTCAAGGACACGTTGGATGTCACCCCCAAGGCACTGTGGGATCTGCCATAAAGCCAAGCCAAAGGGCCTTCACTGTGCTTTACCCCCCAGCTGACCTTAGAACCGACTTGAAATTGCCCTATTTGGGCTTCAGAGGAAGTTCTCCCCCAACTGTGATCTTTACATTTTCCTCCCATGACTCACACTGTCCCACTCTTTTCTCATATGTTCCTAGAGCACACTGAGTACACTGGGAACTGGTCCAAGCCTGCCTTAAAGCAGGGAAGAGGATTTCTAGCTTTCTCTCAGCTGGCAGGATCAGACAGCTTCTAGCTGACACTCTTCACATGCTGCTGTTTTATCTGGGAGGAGTAGAAGGGATTGGCAAAGATCTGATGTGCGTTAGTGCTCCAGATATCGACGACAACTTGGCTTTACCATAAAGTCTGTGATTTGGAGGATGGGCTTGTCCAGTCCAGTTTCACGTTCTATCTCCACTCCTTATCACCTCATACGGAATCATTAGCACCCAATTTCCAAGGAGATTGGAAGCTTCTTGGGGGGAGGGGTCTGTCTAATTCACCATTGTATCCAGTACAAATAGCGTTGGGTACCTGATAGGAACAGTGTCTCCAACCCCTAAATTTTCTTCTTAGGAATGCGTATCCGAGATCATCTTCCCCATAGGTGAAGAATCTGCCCGGGTCAAATATCAAATTAAACAGTGGTAAGAAGCACATAGGAGTAAGTCACTCCTTCGTAGCATCACCCTGCTTAATCGAAAAATGAGCTTATTTGTAGCATCTTTAATGGCCCTTTCTTCAGCCTAGAACCTCGGGATAGTATAGTTGGATTGTCATGTGAAGATCCAGGCTTCCAGGCATAAGAAAGTCACTGATGGTTTGATTAGAAAGAAGGTGGGCCAACATGTCCATGGGTTTGGGGGCGGGGAAAGAATGAAAGGACTCCTCCGCCATTAGAAAAAAATGATTCTGGAAAAATGACTCTGGGCATGGCACGTCAACAGAGAAGTATCTGTTGAATCTGGTCCTAGAAAAAGCAGACCCTAGACTGGGTAGAATAGGCAGAGAAATGACCCCCCAAAATATAGGAAAAAGTACTTCTTTTTATTCTGGAAATGCTGAGAGTCCACCACAAAAGCTTAGTACCTGTCTTTATTATTTTTTTAAAGATTTTATTTATTTATTTGACAGAGAGGGACCACAAGTAGGGGGAGCAGCAGGCAGAGGGAGAAGAAGAAGCAGGCTCCCCACGGAGCAGGGAGCCCGATGCGGGGCTCCGTCCCAGGACCCCGGGATCGTGACCTGAGCCAAAGGGCAGATGCATAACTGATGGAGCCCCCCAGGCACTCCAGTACCTGTCTTTTTTCTGGACATTTGTTGGGTGCATGCTGTTCACACAGCATGGTCGGGGACCCCATTGGGGAAAAAAAAAGATGTGATCCTATGACCTGAGAAGACAAGATGCATGCCTTTGGAAAGCTGGGGGATCATTCCAAGGCGAGGAGCCTAGACCGTAAATGAACTTACAGTAACCCAGAGAGGACTACCAGGGTGGGATGGGGATGACTGGTTGGAAGGGTGGCATGATTCCCACCGCCTTCGACCCTTTGCAGGCTCCTCGAAGTCCTCCCTCTTCTTCTTACAGTTACTGTGAGCCACACTGGGAGCTTTCTTGCCCAGCCACAGACACTGAGGAAACTTTCAGCTGATGAGCCGTCCTCTGGAATCTTCTTCCCTTTGGTGTCAGCTGAACAGAGGTCATGAAAGGGCCCACATCTCCAGATGTCTGAGGAGAAACTTAGAGAGTTGCCAGTCCATCTAGAACTTTGTGGCTAAAGCTCACGCTTCCTGTCAGAGCTGGCCTGATGGGTAGGGAGCCGCCCAGACAACTTACAGGGATATTTGTGGGATGTTGAGAAGTTTCTCCAAAATACCTCATGTAATAGCCTGTGTCATGGAATCTTTCCTCTTGGCTACAGAAATGTCCCCTTTTAGACGTTTGTGGGTGAGAGCAAGAGATGTACGCCGGTAGACATGCAGTTTGGTGGGCGACTGTGGGATGACTAACGGTGCCGGGAAAGGCTGCAGGTGAATCCGTGAACACAGCGGATGGTCTCCAACCATCGTTCCTGGGGCCAGGCTGCTGCCTCTCTAACAGCAGACGTTTATGTGGAGATTAAAATGTGCCCTGGAAAAAGTTATAGGGGACACAAAACTAGAAGGGATTGCTGGAATATAACATTATTAAACAAGATTCAGAAAAACCTCAGGATGTTGAGAGAATAGGCCCCAACTATAATAAAGTGGGATGAATAGAAGGTCCTATATCAAGGTCCTATATTGGAAGAAAAAAATCAGCCATAGAGTGAAAGCCCAGGACAGTGACTAAAGAGCACTGACTGTATCCTTAAAATCCCTGCAAGGGATCGGCTGTCTAAAAGCTCTGTATAAGCCAAAGCTATGATATGGTGGTAAAAACGAAACAAACAAACAAACAAAATCCCAAAATGTGAATATGCACTGACGCACAGATGGAAAGATTCTTCCCCTAAACTGTTTGTTTTTTAGATCGAGGGAAGGATTCAGATCTGGGCCATCCCCTAGCTAGGTCAACCCGAGGATGGACTAGCAGGATGGAGACAGGTCTGGAAACCATATGAAAGGAAGAGAGGAAGATTTGGTGACGAGAAGAGAGAGAGGAGGGGCGTCATGTGGGTTCTCTAAGTTTCAGCCGTGCTATCATGGAGAAGATGTGTGATTGATTCTAACCCAGAACCAAGATGGGTAAGAAGGTAATGGGACGTAGATTTCGGCTCCGCCTGGAAACTGTTAATACTTAGGGCCGCTCCACAGCGCATGCGGCTACCCTGTAAGTAGCAAGCTCCCGTCACAAGAGTCGTTCCAGCAGGAGCGGGATGACCTCCCTGCCAGGAACGTGCAGCCAGATTCCTACACTGGGAAGGAAGCCGGGTGAGGCGATTGCCAAATTCTAAGATCCCTCATTACTCTGTATTTACGAAAGTACACCAAGCCCACGCAGGGGGTGCCCGTAGCTGGCAGTCAGTGGTGCACACCATTGTGGGAATTGGCTTCTCTTTCTCTCTCTCTCATGCACACGGAAGGGCTGCCCGCTGGTGTGTGTGCTGTGTGCTCTGGCTCTCTCCCTGCCTCTTCTCTGGTCCTGCCCAACCTTGGCCTTGAAAGCAGGAGCAGACTTTTGGCCCTTATTCTTCCACATCAAAGTGTGAGCACTAAGGCCCTCCTGCGACTTCCCCAGTTCGGGGTCCATAAATTCGAAAGTGGCCAAGAGTGGAGTGTGGTCAAAAAGAGTTAATGCGTTCTCTGTGGCTTATGACTCCAGGTGCGAAAGACTGGCCCAATGAACGAGATGAGGACACTTTCCCCAACCCGCCCCATCTCTTCCCACTCTGAAGGGTACAGCCAGGATCTCTAACTCTACTCTAATGTCCATCCTCATTGACTCCTAGAGATTGGGGGCAGATCACAGACCATTAGAGGTGACCCTCACAGGCTTGTGCCTTCTCCGGAGCGCACTGGAATTCCCCCAGCAGAGAGTGGAAGAAAACTGAGCATCAGTCTAGACCAACTTCATCCCACTTTGGAATGCCAGAGACGTGAGT